AATAAAAAACACAGACTGTTAAAAATGCACTAAATAGGCATCGACATGCATCATACACACACTAAAAATCTCAGGAATATGAAGACGCAAAGGGGTTAACCTAGCCTTATTCTCTGTTCTCACTTGTGCGTGTGCATATTTATATAGCTGTATACAAATACCCCCTTCATCAGAGCTAACTAAGGGAGAATCTGTATCAGTACTGAAAATTGGATACTGTTTTGTCCTTTGTGTAAGGGCCCTTCAGTAAGGATGGGCTCGGGCGTGTTCGCTGCTCCAAATGCCGAGCCTGCCAGGAAGCTGACAGCGCGCAGCGCCAATCACAGGCACTGAGAAATTTCCCGATCTCTGCAGCTGCGGACCGGGAAAATGTCTCAGTACCTGTCAGCTTCCTGGCGTGCTCGGCACATGGAGCTGCGAACAAGCTCGAGCCCATCCTTATGCTGGGCACACACCTTACAACCATCGCAAGACTTTTGTCTTGCGATGGTTGTAAGGTAATTAAAAAAACGTACGATCTGCCTATCTTGGACAGGCAGATCGTACTTGCGATGATCGCAAGCCCGCCCCGCTGAGGGGCGGGCTTCCAATGACCACAATGCTGAACAGGCAGTGTGCGCTTGCGCACACCGGCCCGTGTGGCATTTATCTTACGAACATGCCACACACCCGCCGACAATCGTACGATTCACAGCGGGTTTTCGAACATGTTCCTAAGATAAAAGTCTTGCGACCTTACAGTAGCAGAGGTCACACGTCTTCCACACACCTTGCGATAATCGTACGATCATGGGATTTCCCGCAATTATCGTACGATTATCGCAAGGTGTGTGGGCACCTTAAAGTGGCCAGCCAGGAAGTGGTAAAATAAAAGGACTTTTTTTTTTAAAAAGGTAATTTTTTTTCTTTTGTCTGTCACTTTGCTGCAACGAAAAATTCATTCATAACAAAAATTTGTGCATACTACTGCTAATGGAAATTCCGATTTTGCCGGAATCTGTATCCCGAAACAAATTGGCAGTCATGCTAGGGCATATATAAACCACATGTTTTCTATGCCTTGCAGCACGGAGGGTCCCCAGTTCGAATCCTGCCCAGGTCACTATCTGCAAGGAGTTTGCATGTTCTCCCTGTGCTTGCGTGGGTTTCCTCAGGGTACTCCGGTTTCCTCCCACACTCCAAAGACATGCTGGTAGGTTAATTGGCTCCTCTCTAAGTTGGTCCTCTATGTATGCATGTGAGATAGGGACCTTAGATTGTAAGCTCCTTGAGGGTAGAGAATGATGTGAATGTGCAACAATGTAAAGTGCTGCGTAAATTGTCGGCGCTATATAAATACCTGTAATAAATAAATAAATAATAAAATGTGCTCTATTCACACTACAGCGCAGGTATGATCTGTGGTGTGAACAAATGTAGACATGCACTGGACTGCACTACAGGTCACCACACTGCTGTGTGGTACCTGAATAGAGTGTACCATTTGTACATTCCAAATAAAGTAAAAGAAAAGTAAGCAGTACATTACATTGAAACAATGCAAGGCACAGCGGCTCACTGATGCCTTTTGGGAGACACTAGTTGCAGCGCTTTATCGTGCGGCTAGAATGAACAAGCTCTAAGAAAACAATGAGTTACTCAACTTTTGATTAATGGAATGATGATGACTTTAATTTACAGATCCCTTATTCCTGAATTGTTCAGATCCTAAGTTTAATTGTGTTTTAGGAACACTAGATAAGTATTACTCCATGAGAATGTATTAGGTAGACTTACCAGTTCTTAGTTAGACTGCTGTCTCTGTTCTGGCTTCCTGCATCAACAAGGAGGCAGATCTTGAAACTCCCACAAACTCACCAATGATCTTTTACTCTGGAATCAATGAATTGCACTATTAAACAGAGCAGCACAAGCTCTGCATTCATTCTGAGCTTCAGGCTGCCAGAGAAAACAAACCCTAGAGAGAGCTAAAAATATTGTTTACAGGGCCTGTACTGACTGTTCCAATCTACAAATTATGTGAGGCCAAGTAAGGTGCACAGAGTTTAGAGGTCATATTAAAAGACATAGCCGCGCTCTGTGGCGTAAAACTAGCAGGGTTATTCACAAAAGGGTTAAGAGTTTGGAGAAGGCAGGAGAAGTGAACAATCTAGGACAACATAATTGATTTGGTAAGTGAGCTGAATTGGAGAATTTTTCCAAATCAGCTATTTTGGCCTAGATTGTTCACTTCTCCTGCCTTCTCCAAACTCTTCACCCTTTTGTGAATAAGTGGTAGGTCTCTGCAAGACTTCACCCTGTTCTACAGCTGCCCTCCTATCATATAATTCCTCCCTCCATGCTGCCCAACAGACTTATTTTGTCACTTTAATTAACACGCTCATCCAGACCTCGTCAACTCTTTTCTACTTTTAACTCTCTACTATGTCCTCCACCGCCTCCACTGACTAACGTATTCACTGCACAGGACATTGCCATTCATTTGAAAAACAAGATAGATGCAATTTGGGATGAGATCTCCACTGTCCACTCACCATTCCCTATTAATGTACCAGACCCACCATCACACTTGTTACTTTCCTCTTTTGACCCTGTCACTACAGAGGAGGTTACAAAACTTTTCTCCGGCACCCACCTCACCAATTGCACCACTACTTTGGTCACCCTCTTGCTCTATCCTACACTCTCTTACTCACATGTTCAATCTTTCTGTCTCTACTGGCATTACCTCCCCTCTAAAACATGCACTGGTCATCACAATACCCAAAATACCCTCACTGGACCCCACCAACCTTAATAATCTCAGACGCGATCGTACGATAATCGCAAAGTGTATGGAAGGCGTGCGACAGCTGTTTCTACTGTACGGTCGCATGTTCTCCGTCGAACAAGCAGGCTTGAAAACCCACCGAGAATTGTACGATTCTCGGCGGGTTAGTGGCCTGCTTGTTCGACAACTGCCGAACGGGCCAGTGGGCGCACGCGCACACTACCCGTTTGCAGTCATCGGAAGCCCGCCCCTCAGGGGGGTGGGCTTGCGATGATCGCAAGTACGATCTGCCTGTCCAAGATGGGCAGATCGTATAAGCTTTTAATAAGCTTACGACCAACGCAACACAACAGTCTTGCGATGGTCGTATGGTGTATGGGCACCTTAAGAATGATAGCCACATGAACCTTCCCTAACTGCTGACTACCCAACGGCCGCCCTGACACTAATCACCTTCCTGCCTTGCCCTGATGAAGCATGTTTAGGTGAAACACATTGAGCGAGAGCAGGTTATCATGCTCTGTGAATTTTGATATTGTGGTACTAAGGTCCTTTTTTGTGTGGTACTTAGATCCTTGATCGTTTTTATCTCTCGTGTTTTGGGCTGTTATTTTCCCCCCTCTATACTGGACGTATGATGTTCTCAGTAAAATGTTCTGAAAAAAGTTTGGAGAACTTGAGTTTGTTGGCAAATCCTGAAACAGAGCTCAAGGGGTGCAGTTGAGCAGAAGAAATTCAGTGATAAAACCATGACCATGATGTAATTGAATCTTCAGTTCAGGCGGTGAGCCTCTTTCCTGTGGAATATTGAATGATCAGAGAGTATGGTTTGAAGACACCCTGTGGTGTCATGATGTAAAGTGATCTAAGCACTGCTAAACTTTTTTGTTTTATTTATGACAGCAACCGTACACTGCATTTCTACCTTTTATTATTGCATGAATTTCTATGCTTTCAGTCTTAAATAACTAGTTCTATTTAAAAACTTATGAAAAACATTATATGGTTCCCTGTTTACTTCAGCTTATGATTACCCGCTTGCATTTCGGAGGTGGCCACGTCATGCAATGCAGTTCGCATATAATGTTCTTTAAGTCTACCATTGTTAAATCATTTTCTAGTCTTTAGCAGGTTTGGAAGCTTCCGCAATCAGAATTTTATCATTACCTCCAAATTAAACATTTTGTAAAGTCTCTTGTCCAGGATAAGACAGACACGTCCTTTACACTGACGGAATTTGAAAACAGATGCTTACGCGATCCGTATGGCTCATTAGTGTATTGGGGTCTTAACAAGTCGCGTTCATCTGACAAATTATTGTATATGTCAAATTGGGAAACTGAACATGGGGAATGTCTTGAACAAGCTGAGTGGGAGGTTATTTGGACTCAGACTGCCAAAATCTCCTTTAATATAATAGCATTGGAGAACTCATACCAGGTGTAAATGATATTGGTACATGACGCCAAATAGGATAGCTAATTCTTTCCCAGAAGCATCCCCTAACTGTTTTTGGGGGGGGTGCTTCTCAAGGCACGATATTCCATATCTGGTGGGCATGGCCCAAAGTGCAAACCCCCTCGCTCGGGGTATCCCTCATGCCTCTTTCCCCCTCCTGTTTTCCTCCTTCCTTCTGTTTTTCTGTAGTGAGTATCTACTTTTTCTCTCTTCCTTCTTTTCATTTTTACTTGTTTCTTTTCTTGGATGTGATTTTCTGGCCTGGCCTGGCCTGGCCTGCTATCCTTATATCATCTGCTTCCACTTCGGTTCCAAGTTTGTTTTTTTCCCTTTGTTGGATCCGTGGGATGCGTATACCCAATTGGTCTTTTCATTTGCACTATGGAAGTGATGTATTTTTGGTTATTATACTTTTTAGCTATTTTTTCATGACTGATGCTGCAACTCGTTGATCTTGATTGCACTATATTTGGATGCTCACCATTTCCTTTGTAATTTCTATACCACCGTATGTACCCTTCTGTTGACCCTGTCTTCTTTTTTAAAAAATTTCTAAAATGTATGTAAATGAAAAACATTATAACAGAAAAGGTATGAATAAATTGTGATTTCTATATAATCTATAAGTAGTATTTAACCAGACATCCACAGCTGTTCTATTGATACTCCTGATGCTGTCTTGGAGGTTTTCTGTTTACTGTTTCAGACGTACAGAATTTTGCTTAGTCAAAGCTGCATGACCTGACATTATGTTTCCTTTCATCATCCACAGGGCATGAAGCCAGACAGCTTCTTTAAAGTTAAAGTTCCTGAGCTTAAGGAGATCATTGAGGGCTGTATACGAATGAACAAAAATGAAAGGTAAAATCACCTCAAGGCGGGTGCTTACTAGACTGAATTGTAGAGAGGAGTACAATAGTTGCTCCTAGGATTAAAGGGAATGGGGATGCTGAGCAGTGATTAGGTGCAAACAGAGTTTCTATCTTCTGTGCAAGAGGTAGCAAATATTTATATTTATAAAATGTAATGGGAAGAATGTGTATATGCTCTCTCTCCATTTAAAAATAGTTTAATGGCTGTCAAACCCCGGATTTCTATGTTTGTTATCCAACAATCCTGTGAAGGGAATTTACTAAGACTGGAGCATACAGAATCTGGGATAGCTGTGCATGGCAACCAGTCAACTTCTAATTTTTATTTTTAAAGCTCAAGTTTGAACAAGCTAAAGATAGAAGCTGGTTGGTTAACATGCACAGCTGCTCCACTTTTTCAGTAAATTCTCTCTAGTGTTCATAAAACCATGCACATAAAGTTTTCCCCTACTTCCTGTTTAAAAAAATGTATTCAGTATAGGGCAGGATCTGTAGGGCCTTAGCATAAATGGCAGAAATGCTAATTGTTTGGAGATGGCTGAAACCTATAACAGCTGGAAAACCTTTCTGACCAACAATGGTAGGTCGCAATATGCACCCTTTGAATTGCAGTAGCAGTGGTCAGCTCATCACTTGCAGTATGCAAAGGCATATTGCAGTACTGAAGCCTAATCATGTATTTTCTATGTTTGTCCTAAGAACTGGCAAGAGAACAGCATTCCCACCCTGCCCAAATGTTGTGATGCTAGCATCATGTTTTTGTGGCTTGGGTCTGTTAGAATACCTCAGGAAAGTTACACTGCAGGGCCTCAAACCCTCAGGAGTTGGCCTCTAACCCATGGGAAAGTTACACTGCAGGGCCTCGAACCCTCAGGAGTTGGCCTCTAACCCATGGGAAAGTTACACTGCAGGGCCTCGAACCCTCAGGAGTTGGCCTCTAACCCATGGGAAAGTTACACTAAAGGGCCTCTAGCTCCCCAGTAGTGGGCCTCGAACCCACTTCTCCTGGTAAGACTTAACTCGATTTAAGTTTTCTGGGATTCGATCATGCTGCCAGCTTCAGACAAGTACTTGGGAATACAGAATAACACAAAACAGTGTATTCACTCTATATTCAAACGTTTATTGTTAAAAACAAAAGGTTATATGTGAAACTAAAAGAGGGATGGCGGAGCATAAACCAATTAAAATCATGCATGTATACAAAACTACAAGGCTACTTATGATAGTAAGAATCATGAGACAACCATGGGGGGATTTTCAAAGTAAACAACCAGAAGACAAAAACAGAAATAAGAGATTTTAGCCATAAATGTTAGCCTTTACCATTTGTAAAGGCTAACATTTTAGAAACATCTCAAACTGGTTTCTGTGGAATAGAGTGAAAAACACAATTTGGCTTGCACAGACATTTGGCTTGCTCAGACAGTTATAACTATGTATAACCCAGAAACAGGCAAATTAAATGAATCACCCTTTCAGAGTCACTGTATGCTCATGTAATCCTCCATGTGGTATATTTGGTACGACACTTGCTAATTGATATTTGGTTGGGGTTTTCTTTTAAAAATCATCTTTAACCAAATTTGAAAATGTAGCATAGAAGGGACACCGGCTACCTGTCCAGTGCTTTTATTTTTTATTCTACCATTGCTTGAGTACACCAGGCCACCCCTGGTAAAATACTTTGACCATAAGCAACCTTGTTTTGGGTACAGCTAATCCTAAGCTTCTGATTTAAAAAGCCTGGCATTTCCAGCTATGTCTATCAATTTCTCTACAGCAGTCTCCTTGGATGCAACGCTTAGGGGGGGCTTGCACATCACAATATGATTGGTATATAGGGAGAAATACTTGCAGTATTTTATCTAGACTTTGCTGTCATGCCCTACTCCATCCTACCTCCTTGAAGTTGCATACATACAAGAAAAAAGAAAAATAAGATGAGGCTCATTCATAACCCCAATTCCAAAACAGTTGGGACGCTGTGTAAAATCTACATAAAAACAGAATGCAATGATTTGCAAATCTCATAAACCCATATTTTTTCACAATAGAATATAGAAAAGATTTTAAATGATTAAACCGAGAAAATGTACCATTTTAGGAAAAAAATAAGGTAACTTTGAAATTGATGGCAGCAATACATCTCAAAAAAGTTGGGACAGGGCAACAAAAAGCTGACAAAGTAACTGGTACTAACAAGGGAGAGCTGAGAGAACATTTTGCAACTAATTAAATTAATTAGAAACAGGTCAGTAACATTATTGGGTATAAAGAGCATCTTAGAGAATCAGAGTGTCTCAGAAGTAAAGATGGGCAGAGGTTCACCAATTTGCATCCAAAGCCTGTCAAACAATTTCAGAATAATGTTCCTCAGTCTAAAATTGCAAATACTTTAAATATATAATCATCTACAGTACATAATATCATCAAAATACTCAGAGAATCTGGAGAAATCTCTGTGCACAAGGGACAAGGCTTAAACGTAATATTGGATGCCCATGATTTTGGGGCCCTCAGAAGGCACTGCATTAAAACAAGGCTGATTCTGTGATGGACATCACTAAGTGGGCTCAGAAATACGTAAAGCGTGAGATTTGCAAATTATTGCATTCTGATTTTATGTAGATTTTACACAGCGTCCCAACTTTTTTGGAATTGGGGTTGTATATACACTACACACACGTACATTGGTACAGATGTTTCAGACCTCTATAAGTGAGTGACCTAGCATCCCTGACTTTTTTTGTTGATCTGCATCTTGTGATATTTCACATAATGTAGACAGTAGTAAAGAGTACTTGATTGATAGAGGTGTAAATGGGGAGCTTGGAGTGGCTTTACAATATAATAACTGGACACTGCCTTGGTCCAAAGACAAATTATATGGGGGGTGGGGGTATGTGGAGTTAAAACCCATTAATCCACCACTACCTTCTTACACCAATAGAATGGAATCTGAAAAGACAACCAAAAGACAATAGTTAATAAAGATGGGAAAACACATAAAGGGCATGTTCAGTCATTAATGTTATGCTGCACATATCAATACCAAATAACTGAAAGGCTTTTTGGATCTTGACAGGTATACCATCCAGGATCTGCTGGAACACTCCTTCTTTCAGGAAGATACTGGAGTTCATGTTGAACTTGCAGAAGAAGATGATGGCGTCAAACCAGCCTTGAAACTTTGGTTAAGGATGGATGACACAAAAAAGCTCCATGGCAAATACAAAGACAACAATGCTATTGAGTTTCTCTTTGAGCTTTACAAAGATATTGCAGAGGAGGTAGCTCAGGAGATGGTAAGTGTGTTCTAAAACCTATTGTGTCATGTTTAAATAAAATTTGTGGGAACTTACTTTAAGATCAATTTGCAGATCAGCTGGTTATTTGCAGATTGAGCTGTTTATCTAAGGCCTGGTTCACACCTGACCGTTTTACAGCACGTTCCTACGCTCTGTAAAACGCTCAACATGTGAAAACCAATTGCCTATGGGCATGGTTCCCACCTGGGCGTTTTACAGCGCGTAGGAACGCGCTGCAAAGCTCCCTACGCCCAAAGAAGTACAGGAGCTTCTTTGGGGCGTATTTACAGCACGTATCCATTGGGATACAGCCAGGTAGCCCTCGGAAACGTTCATTTGTCACGCGTTTTTTTTACCGCAAATCGCAGTAAAAACGTGCGGCACGAAACGCGCTGCAAACGCGCATATTCCGTAAGCCTAGGTTTGAACCCAGCCTAAGAGCCATTTTATCATGTACTCATTTTCTTTATGGGAACTCTAGTTGAGGTTTACCTGGCTATGGAGCAGCAATGGTGCCACCCTTGGACAGCAGCATTGTCAACCAGTGTTTACATGTAGTATCAGATTTTGATGGACCTAACAAACTAAAGCTCAATTCCAGCTAACATCTTTTAACCAGTATTCTGTTACAACCACTGCTTTATGCATTTGCACATATTTCCTAAGACTCATCTGTACGGATAGTATGACAACCTACTGACTTGGTGATAATTCACAGATAGTGTCCAACTCGCTAAGAAGACTCAGAGTAGAATCCAATGTAGTTTATTCAGCCGTCTCAATGCAGAGAATGTGATTCTTGTCATTCTTAGAGGTGAAAAAGAACTTCATATCTTTGCTTATAAGAGGTTAAACACAGACCCTCTTACCTCAGGGATGATGCAGAAAAGGAAAATAGAAAAAAAGAGGCTGGAAAGATCTAGCAGAAGACTGTGCCAATGTACAGAAAACAGCAGGGGTGAATGGAAGATACCAAGTATACACAGATTAGGCTGTAACAATGCTAATTTACCACTAGTAGCTATGGATACAGCATAACACAATGAAATGCAATGTAATATATATTTCATCTTTTATTATTTATGCTATTTCAGTTAAACGATGACATTGGCTGTGGCAGCACAACCAGTTAGGGAAAAAAAAGCCTAAAAAAGGAAACTAATGCAGAGACCACATCTAAGAATTGATGAGCAATTGTTTTGCATGTGGGTTTAGATAAACTTTAACCACTTGCTGACCCCCTTCCTGTCCAGGCCATTTTTCAGTATTTAGTGCTACGGTAATTTGACTGACATTTATTCAGTCATGCAACGCTGTACTGAAATTAATTTTGTATTGTTTTTTGGGGACAGATAGGGCTTTCTTTTAGTGGTATTTAATCACCACTGAGGTTTTTATTTTTTACTATATAATTAAAAAAAGTACTGAACATGTTGAAAAAAAGTTCCTATGTTATGCTATAACATTTATTATTACCCAATTTTTTGGTAAAATATAAAAGATGGGGTCATGTCGGGTAAACAGACACCAAACATGTCAAGCTTTAAAAGTGCGTGCGCCTGCAAAATTGCAAAAAAACTACCATACCTGAAATTGGCCGTAGGCGACGCTTTAAAAGCTTTTACTGCTCTACAGTTTAATGTTATCTATGATTAATAGCCCTAGAATTATTGCTCACACTCCGGCGTTTGCGGTGATATGTAACATATGAGGTGTAATCGTTGTTTTTGCAACGTAGGCGCACCCTAATTTTTCAATATGTGACTTTCATTTTTTTTTTTTTAACACTTAACTTTATTGCTATCACATAGGGGGATACAATCCCCCTATGTGATAGCCAATATACAATGATTGGTCCTCTTTATGGAGACATCAGGGGTCTCACCAGCTTCTTCTCTGGCTATAGCAGCCAGAGAAATGACAGCTAACGGCGATGCAATACGCTTCTAGAGAGAGAGGGTCGCGATGTCCTCTCCTCCCTTGAATGTGTCAGACGCTGCAGATGGAAAGGGGCAGGACACCTCTCCCCATGTGCAACGTCGGCCACACGAGCACGGGAGGACAGGACGCCGGGACCTCTAGGGCGCACTGGAATGTAAGCCGACCGACTCCCTGCATGCAGGCACATTAGTGCATTCCAGTCCAATGCGATCTGCAAAAATAGTGCTCGCAGCATTTTTGCGGATCGCACTGGACTGGAACACAGGCACTAATGCAGGCGATTGCACTGTGGGCGAGGGGCCTGCCACGCCCCCTCCCGCCCCTGAATTCAGGTGTTTTTTCGTTGGTAGATCTCAATGAGCTCATCATTTGAAAAGTAGATCTCCAGACGAAAAATTGTGGGCGCCCCTGCCTTAGGTATTTAGCCAAATGTATCCAGTAATTAAAGACCAGATTTAAGCGATAATGACAGTTGAAGTTTAGTCTTCTAGAATCAGTACTACAATCTCATCATTGTCTTCAAGAATAGTAATTCATTATGTTGAACATTTTAATGTAACAACTTAAAAGTAAATCCTATGACTTTATATTCAGAAGTCTGATCTGCAGAACCTGTGTACAGTAAGTCTGACCTCATGAATAGGAAAAAATTATTACAGCCAATTGGTAAAGGAAAAAGTATGTCATTGTATTTAGCCCAATTTACTGTAACAGACTCTATACACAGTCACAGTTAGAAAAGGAAAAGAAATTGCACTTTAAAGAAGATCTCCGGCATAATACAAATTAACCATTGTAGTGGGGCTACCCCTCCAGTGCAAGATACACTCACACAACCCTTGGTACCGCGACTGCTTACCTCTCTCCCCCTCCGATCTGGATGTGTAATGTCCCTTGGCATCCTCACATCCAATGCAACTGAATGGATGTGATGATGGCACGGGTCCTTGGACCAGCAGAGGCTGGGTGAGAAGAGGCTGCAGGGACTGGTCTAGCAGCCAGGCAGGTCTGAGTATTGGGAAAGCATATCTTTTTTATTTTACACCCTAGACCAGGGGTTTCAAATTACCGGCCCGCAGGCCAATTGCGGCCCGGGAACCGGTATGTGGCCCGCAGCCATCTGACAAGTCAGGCACGCGGTCATGGACCTCGTACCTGACTTGCAGGAGCAGCTACATAGTCTTAATTTCTGTCAGATGCAGACCGCATAGCTGATACTGGCTGTGACGGCACTCGTTCGTTTCAGCCGGGGCTCTGAGCTCCAACTGACAGAATGGGTTAGTAAGGTCTGCACCAGCAAAAAGCAAACTCAACCACTGGATCACCAGGGAATGATGTGCCTCCTCCCTGCAAAAACAAAAGCAGGTGAGGGGGCTCTTTGTTCTATTTTTGTGTGTG